AGGAGTCTGCTGCAGCCATCGATACCATGGACGAGGAGAGGTCTGAATGTCGGGGGAAAGACACGAAAAATCTATTTCTCTCTAAGTACTGGACAAAGAAGAGGAGGAAGGCATTAAGACACATATGAAGAGCATCTTCTCTTGCCGCGTATTTAGTGGATTTCTCGGCCATTTTACTACACACACTAGACACACACACACATAAACACACACACACATACATACACACATACATACATATATATACATACATATATATACATACATATCTATCTATCTATCTATCTATCTATCTATCTATCTCTCTATATATATTTATATATATATATATATATATATATATATATATATATATATATATATATATATATATTCATTTACCGTTAAATTGTTTTTATTTTGCTTATTTATTTTACTTGTTTATCAGTTTATCCATGTATGTTTTTGAACTACGCATGAGAAATCAATAAGGAACATCCCACATGCACTTAACGATGAGCATGAAGCACAAACGCCTCACCTACACTTTCAACATCTTGTCCCTAATTGCGCCTGAAGGAAAAGAATGGAATCTGATATTGACAGCCGGCAAAAGTTTCTGACGGCTCGGAAAATATCTTCACTTATTGATCTTTGCTGCGAGTTTGGCAGAGTCGGACAAGCATAAAGACACTCGCCGCCGCCCTGGAGTTAGTGTGTTTTGGCTTATTTTCCTTCTCCTCTTCTTTCTCTTCTTGGTTGAAAATAAGAATGTGTAGATGCACAAACAGACAAGGAATTGAAAATAAAAATACAGTGTCTTGTGAGTGAAATTTTACTTTTTAAGATCGTTTCTTCTCAGAGCGTCTCCTTTCATTTCACGGTGGTAAGAAAGATTATGCTTCTGTTAAATCTAATTTTGTGTTACAGGCGTTCGTGGACATATAAATATTGCACAGGGATTATGAAAATATCTATTCATACACTGTCTCTTTTCTCTGCCATTCTCTTTTCTCTACCTCTCTCTCTCTCTCTCTCTCTCTCTCTCTCTCTCTCTCTCTCTCTCTCTCACTTACTCATTCACTTCCACTTTCACGAAAATAAGTGTGCATGGATGACAGTAAAATAAACACAATACATAAACGTATACGCGTATATAAAAACATGACATACATTTTGTCGAAAACTTCTTTCAGAATATTCAGATTCTTAAGAAAAAAAGGTCATTCACTCAAACAGACATCATAAATCTCTCACTCTCCCCCCTCTTCCCACTTCCCACACACACCCTCCCCCCACGATCCCCCGGTGAGCCATCGACGGAGCACGCCAGGTGGTTTGGTCTCGAGATGTTTCCAATCAATCTCTTCAATAGCACTTCCGGGTTCTGTGGTCCTCGCTCCCCGCCCTCATTCGAAGGATTTTGCAACAGTCGATTAGTTCTGATGCTTTCCGAGTCATTTGAGTGCGTATTAATACCTCGCTTGCCTTGTATGATTTTTTTTTTTTATGTTTCCTTAAATGTTGATGGGTATCAACTATTTTTGTTTTGTATCGTATTTTATTCCTCTAATTTAAATGTATGTGTACGAATGCTTATGTACATCTAGCATGCCTACTTTCAAACTATTTGAGATCTGAAGAAATCGGGGATAAAAGACAATTAAACTCACATCATTCGTCTAAAATAAAAGTCTTGCAAAATTTCAGTCGCCTCCTCCACCGAGCCAAAGAAAGCCAATGACATCACGCGTGGACCATTCCCCGACTCCCCGCCCTATGCATGAAGCAAGTGGTCTTACCCCAAAGAATGCTGCGGCACCATGCAAGAGGGGGAGTCCAGGTTCACGATTTTTTTTTTAAATATCGTTGTTTTGTTGAGAGTTGTTTATTGCATGTGATCAGCTGATGTCAAGATACATATAGATATTTCTAAAAGTTGGTAGCCAAGAGTGCGCGACTTGACAATGGCGCTGATCAAATCTTCGCTCCAGAATGGCACTGACTAGGTGAGTTCATGAGTGCAGCTGGGGGGGGGGGGTGGAGTTACGTGAGATGGAGGAGTCTTAAAATTGGTCGACTTAGGAACATAATAAAAAGGGAATAAAAAAAGTACATATAAAAAAGTACATATAATAAACAACAATAAAAAAAAATAGATGACCTGAACAAGCTATCAGCAGCTACATTTATTTTTGCTTCAGAAATTGTCAATCCCGCATAACCGGACCAAACATTGTACTTCACATTATTATCACTTAGTATACCGATGGAATCCACGTTTGTATGCACCCCAACCCGATTCCTGTCACGGAGAATTCCAACCCTCTCATTGCACTTACAAAGAATAAGACCTGGGAAACCAATAGCGTCAAGGGGTAGGGCGGACGGTATGTGAGTACATGCACATAACCTAGCAATATGAGCTGAGTCTGTTGCACCCGGATTAAACCAGCGTGCCATGCTGGAGCTGCACAGTTAAAAGAAAAGGGCCTAAAACAAATGCATGGAGTTGAAGCAT